TATATATATATATATTTTAGTTAATGTTTATTTGATTTCAAAAACTATTTTTTATTTTTTTTTAATGTTTTTAATTTTAATTTTAGAAAACTAAAATTACACTGGTCCCCACTGACCTGATACCTTATTTTAGGCAAAATTTGCAACCCTGTTTTCCATTCTGGCATAATTTTTATTCGACACATTTTTTTAAAAGTAAAAAATATCATAGAAATATTATATATTTTTATTTATTTTTTTATGATTTTCTTTTTATGAATTATTTATGATTTAAATAATTTGTAAATTATATAAAATGTTTACTTACATTACATGTGAAATGACACACATCATGGTTTTAAACTCTATTTTCCAAATGTCCCCAATTTAATTTTAAGACTATTCTTATATAAATTACTATAGAGCATTATCATCTGACTAAAGCATTTTATTATCGGCTTTTTGCAGTGTAGGCAAAATATAGATGTGAGCTTAAATATCTGCCCCTAGTGGATTATTTTACCCACAATTACTCCTTACTACTTATTTTAAGATTGTGTATGTCAGTGTCTTTGTCAGGGTTGCTTGTGATAGATGAGGTTTGCTCCTCATTAGGATTCGCCTCACAGACTCACTGCTGCAGGAGAAAATAACTCTGGATTCGATCCACCTTCACTCTACCGTGCCCAAGGTTCCTAAGCTATTGAACTCAGACCTTCAGAAATAGCAATAGACATTATGAATTTTCCCCTGTGGCAGTAAACAGTCTGAATAAAAAGGAACTTTTTCTTCTGTGTTCAGATGTGCTCTTTGTATCAGGCTGAGCACCAGGATCCCGGGGTGCCACATTGCTCTTTGTACCATTGTCAGCAAATCACAGGTGACAGTTGATTCGGTATACGATTAGCTAGTCTCTCTGTGACTTTGTCAAACGTTTGCAAATATTTGTGTAATGACTCTGTGTAATATTATCAGTGGTTCTCCGAGTAGTTCCTGAAGGCTGAACTGAGATGTTGCATTGCAGGGCCAAGAAGTCTCTGAAGTACAGTTCACTTTTAAAGGTTAGAAGTGTGTCTGTGATGCAGTAGGTATGCATATGCATATCTTTTTAAATCAAATCAATTTTGAGAATGGATTCGATATGCATATATTTTGAATTTTATAATGGAGATTCCGCAGGGCTCTGTATTTGGTCCGCAACATTTTTGAACACAGCGCTGTACGCTATTCAGTGCCAGTGTCTCTTTGTGAATTCATTAATAAAACAACTATTTGTCAAATGAAGCTTGGAAGCTTACTTACAAACTCTTTTTTTCCCCTTCCCTGAAAATAGATCAGTGACGCCTTTCAGAAGAAGGTGCAAAGCAAGATCACAGATCTTCTCCAACAGATGGAGGAGGGCCTGAAGACTGCAGATCCACATGATTTTTCCACCTACACAGGCTGGACAGGTGAATACCAAACAGTTAATATGATGAACTTCGTGGACTTTATTTGCAGCTTTTGCAGAATAGAATATAAATCAGTGTGCTATTATTTTTGTGTGTATAATGTCACTCAGAATTGCAAGAAAAAAGTCAGAATTGCTAGATATAAACTCAAAATTGCAAGAAAAAAGTTACATTTCTGTTTAGTTCTTGCAGTTCTGAGGAAAAAAATCTGAATTGCAATATTCTATTCTATTCTATTCCATGGCAGAAACAGGCTTCCATAAAGATTTGACTCAAACGGCAATGTCTCAAAATGTGCAGCACAATTTTAATTTTTTTGTGCATGGTCTAATTTTGATCAAAAGCTGTGGTTGCTATGGTTATTTGGACATTCACAGTGAAAGTACCACACTATTCTTTGAACTGCACTGGAGAGCCGTAGTACATGAATATGGCGATCATTCAGCACATGCAGTGTATCAGGTTATCAGACTGATACACCTATCAGAGTATTTTTGTTAAGGTTATAGCTAATAATTTGTACTGTAGCAGTTGTAATTATTCTCTGAGGAGTCCTTTAGATATCAGACACCATCTCTATGTCGACCTCTCTGATTTCTGCGTGGTGGAGGAAAGATCGGGAGGTTTGTGCTGATTTTCTCTCTGTATTCCCAGCAGTGGTCTCTTGTTTCCGTCCCCTCAGCTGTCAGTCACTCCTGTGCTGTGGATCTCTGCAGAAATACACCTTCATTATTTGATTCGGTTCAGGCAGCAGCAGGGCTCTATGCTCAGCAAAGTCAACGCATCAGAATTTCTCCATTGCAGTACTCCTGATTATTTTCAAGAGTATTGATTATTTTTTGCTTTTCCCAGTTTTTGTTGTATTAGAGCCAGGACATCTTAACAGGTGCACTGCAACAAACTAGAAACCACACAGAACACTTTAGCAACCATAAAGCAACATCCTGACAACCACCCAGAACACCCGAGCATCATGCTGGCACCTTTTGCATCACATATTCTTAGGACAATTCTAGTATAAATTGTGAAAGTAACATAATTTGGACTTTTTTCCAATGTTTACCTATTTTGTTCAAAACAGGTCAGTATCACTGAAATACTGTAATATATATATATATATATATATATATATATATTATTTATTTTATTATTATTATTATATATATATTTTTTTTTTGT